CTGTTCATATCCTTGGCCACTTTGTTGATGGGGTTGTTGTTTTTTTCTTGTAAATTTGTTTGAGTTCTTTGTTAGGTTCTGGATATTAGCCCTTTGTTCAGATGAGTAGCATTGCAAAATTTTCTCCCTAATTTGGTGTGTTATTAGTTGCGCTCGTGTATCAAGCAATGCAAGTCTTTCCAATTAACTAAGACAAACATTTTGCGTAGTTTCTTTTGATTGTGCTGAGAAGTCTTTAGTTTAGATGATTGATACTCCATTTTAGAATCCATTGTGCAAATTTGGGACTTTTGCTGCCGGTGTGCTTTTTGTGTGTGTGTAGACATGAAGGTGCGATTTGGAGAGTGTCGTAGCTCGAGACTGGAAATGTTCATCTTAACTAGGGTCATTTTCAACCCTGGGGGTGTTGTTATATAAGCGTATATATGTGAACCATTTAGGAAGTCTCGATCCATCCTATATGAATTAAATGTATTTCGATATAGAGAGGAGATATACAGTGAGCATTATCCAGTTACAAGCATTCTAGCTCGTATATATATAATTCTCAGTGGTGGTGATGATAGGCCGAGAGATATTTCCCAGCCCCATTTATGCTTAGGAATAGGGCAATCTTAATCTCTTCTCCTCTTTCTCTTGGTTTTTTGCCACGCGCTCTTCGCTCACAGATCTGGATGGTGTTGAGTATCGCTCTGCCTCTGCTGTCCATTGGTTTAATCTCTGTTTGGTACCAGCTTACCATGCTGTTTGCGGTTACTGTAGCCTTGTCGGAGAGTGTGAGAAGTTCTAAGTCAAATGTGTTAGTGCGTTTGATGGTGTCCTCCAGCTTCTCTTTTCTTTCTTTGACGTTTAGTGAGGATTATAAGTAGAGTGTGCCTTAGTGTATATATACACATATGAACTTTTAAAGCAGTTTATTTTTCACGTCTCTGTGGTTTCAGTATATATCTTCATGCATATAGCCACCTCTCGTGCATTGTGTGTGCACTTGAATCTATAAAATATGTTGGGCCAGTAATGCCGTCCCGAATTTTTTCTATTGCATATTATGCGATTCTCCTCTCATCCATGACGCTCATGCGTGTTCTTCTTCTCTCTGATTTCTAATTAATTTTGGAAAATTCCATACAAGTTTTAATTTGGTCTTATTAATTGGAAAGACTTGCTTCTTCAGCCAACTAAAACATACATATATGAGCAGCAATTATTTATCAGTTATGGGTTATTTTAGTTTATAGAAGCATGGTATGAAAATTCCCCGCATAGGGCTTAGACTAAAGGTCAATGAATACTTGGATAGAAATCATTTTCAGTACATGTGATAAAGAGCTAAGAGATGAGATTGTGTCAGATGGCCTACCTTACAAAATGTTTCAATAATACATTTGGATTAACGTACACATAACATGAATTACATTGCATAATTGGGGGGTTTAGGTATAGATATCAGTATAAAGGCCCTGTTAATATCCAGAAGTATTTTATGAGTAAACTAGCTCTGGACAGCGTTCCATAAAGAAATAAAGGTGATTCTAACATATGTGGCACCCAGAGGGAGTTGAATTAGGCCGTATAGCAAAAATATACAATTTTGACATACCTTCTTGACGATCGCATGTTCTGACTTTTTATATCTAGTAAGATAGCTATGATGCGTTTAGTAGTTCTCCTTGGATATAATGATCTCTTTTATCGCTTGCTCAACGTGTTGGAATCGCCTATATCGCTAAATGTGTGTGCACTGATTGTAATTGTATTCTCTTTTGATAGCAATTGTAATGGAAGTGTGCATCATGATTTGGCCTCTCTGTTTGTAGCTGTACTTTGTATGTAATGTTATCACTTATGTAGATAA